AATGGTGAGAAAGAAAAGAAGTCCCCCGGGGGGGGGGGGGGCTATGGGCCATAACAACCAGTTGGCCAATCAACACAGGCAAGTCCTCCAAGCCTGGAGCCACACCAATCCTGAGCCTGTGTGTACCCCTAGACACTCCCCTTACGCTGCCCTATAAGATCTCAGTCCTGTGGCTTCTCAGAGTCTTTCCCCTGCCATCTGCCATGGTGGGTGGATGAAAGGCCCAAGCTAATGGGGTTAGCTCGTTAAACAACTCCAATAAAGCTGTCTGCATCAAGTTTTTGCCTCTGCCTGGTGATTGGGGTTGCTGCAGTCCTGGGCAGAGATCCTGGGGGCCTGAGCTTCCAGGGGTCTTTCACATGTTGAGGGAAACAATTACTGTCTGAAGTACACAGGGCAGAGCCTTCACAGAAGGAAGGAAGTACAAAGCACAGGATGGTGCTACCATGAAAGTCACAGCATGGGGACTGAAAATCATGTTCACTGCCTGTTTCATTTTCCATCGAATTTTACTTGATTTTCTTTTTTGAGACAAGATGTCTTAGTTAGGGTTCTATGGCTGTGAAGAAACTCTAGGAGCATAGCAACTCTTAGGAAATCATTTAATTAGGACTGGCTTAAAATTCAGAGGTTTAGTCCATTGCCATTGTGGAAGGAAGCAGGCAGACATGGTTCCAGAGAAGTAGCTGAGAGTTCAACAACCAGATTGGCAGGTAGTAGAAGAGAAAATGACAACGAGCCTGGCTTGAGCTTCTGAAATCCCAAAATCCAGACCCCCTTGATACTCTTCACTTTCTCCAACAAGGTCACACCTACTCCAACAAGATCACACCTCTGATAATGCCACTCCCTATGTGTCTATGAGGGCCATTTTCATGCAAACCACCACACAAAGTCTCTCTATGTAGTCCTGGAACTTGCTATGTAGGCCAGACTGGCCTCAAACTCACAGAGATGCTCCGGCTTCTGTCCCTAAATACTGGGGTGTGTGGCGCCATGCCCGACTCAAAGTTGTCTACTTTAAGATGTGGTGATCTTGGGGAGATAGGTCAGTGATAAAAAGCACAAGCACTCTTTAGGAGGACCTGAGTTCAGTTCCCCGCCTCCACGTGGGGAGACTCTCAACAGCCTGCTCTAGGGCATTTGACATCTTCCTCTGGTCTCCAGAGGAACTACAGAGACCTGCTAATGCCCTCATACAGACATGGGCATATACAAATAATTTTAAAACAACTTTTTAAAAGAAAAGCGCAAGATGATATTCGTTCTTTTATGGAATACAACACAGTAAATTCTTAAACAGAAGAAACAGTCGAATACTGTGAAACCAGAAGACTTTGATACCTCCTCCCATTCTCAGCAAAGGGATTCTAAAGATGCCTCCGCACTCCTAAGATCCACCCCTTCTCTTCACAGCCTGGAACCTCACAGCTGAACAGTCCTAGAAAAAGGCCTCCTTCAACTATGACAGGTAAGCAAAGACAAGCTAACCCCAGACTTGAGAGCCTGGAGCAGGAAAATCTCGAGTTTAAGACTGACCTGGACATAGCAAGCAAAAGAACTTATCCAAGCAGGAAAGTAGCATCTAGGCCACCTTCACCCCAGGAGCACCAGGAGCAAAGGCCCCACCCTTTCCCCCAAATCCTAGGAAGCACTGTGCAGCAAAACCTTCCTCTGCCCATCTCTCACACACTATAATTCCATTTAAAATTTGTGATTTGTGTCTCCACCAAGCCTCCAATATCTTACAGACAAAATTATATCTCTCATATAGGTTAGGGCTAATAACCTAAAGTCATCAAAAAACATGAAGCAAGAAAACAAGAAGGCTTTGCTTGTCCTCGAGTTTAAGGACATTTTTTGTAATATCCACAAAGTTAAGAGTGAAATTTAAAAGTTTTAAATTATTTTTCCCTACCTAATATGTCCAAAGCCATGAAACATAGCAGATCCTTAGAACTCACAAGACCTAGGATTGTAGAAACTGAAAGCATACTTACTCTCTGCAGAAGGACCCTCATTCTACGTTAGCTTAGCGCCACCAAGTGGACTCGGTGGGAAGTTGCTCTTGGGAGTGTTTTGTATCTTTACCTTGTAGCCATTTTGCCCTCCTCCCCATTTAATTGCCTAGAGGCATATAGAAAATGGATGGAGTAAATTCGGGAAAATCTTGACTTTTAGTTTCACATTCCATATGGTAATAATAAAAGAAATTGGCTCACATTTTCTGCAAAATTTGATGAAGCAGATTGTCATTGTCAACAAATTCTATTAAAAATTGTTCTGTCTCCAACACTTGTGATGAAAACATGACTGTGGGAGTTCAGCGGGGCCGGGTCTGTGCAATTGTGAATACTAAGCCACTGAGTGCACGGAGGACTTTATTAAAAATTTCTTAAGATTATAAAAATATTATTTGTCCCCAAAAGGCTGACTGAATGCCATATTCCCTTTGGGGGTAAGTAAATAGATAATTATAAAATACTGACGATGCTAATACCTGCTCTCTGAAACACAACATTTTCAGGACCAAAAAAGACAGTGACCCTCTTCTGTCTGTGCTCAATGTAATGTCCATCTGAGAGCCCTAATGTAAAGAAAATGCTTTAGGTTTATGATGGGGAATGTACTGTGTATGTTTATCTTATTGATTGTTAAATAAAATACTGTTTGGCCAATGAGACAGCAAGTTAGAGGGGACTAGGAGTCAAAGAGGATTCTGGGAAATGTAGTAGAGAAGTGTGATCCAGGCAAGAAGTGAACATAGCAAGGAGACTCATATTTAAGCGAAGGAGCAACAGGAAGCGCTCTCTTTTCCCCTCCGCTCCTGCTCTAGCGGCACAATGTGATCCACCGGCAAGGAGGGACGCCAGTAAGGCGTCCGATAAGATAAGTCTTATAAAATATATAGATTTATGATAATTAAGACTGAGCTAACAGATGAGAAATCCTAGTCATTGCCCAAGCAGCATTGTACCTAATACAAGTTTCTGTGTATTCATTTGGGCCTAACTCGGGCAGGCAGCTGGCGTAAAGCTCCCACATGGCAGTAGGGCTCGGCAGCCTTTGGTGGAATGATTTATCATAACAGGTTTATGTAAGTGGGATTCCACAGCATTTGTCCTCTGTGTGCACCTTGTGAGACTGTTCTGGGCCAGCTTCTTCCTGGTCAGCCAGAGAATCTTGAGGTTCATCTACGCTAGAGAATACAGGTTTTACCAGCTTGCTTTATGGCTCTATAATATTCCCTTGCAGGAATTAATATTCAGTCTGTTGTGTATTGATGCTTTGCTACTGCCAATGTGAATGTATTTTGAATAATGCTGCTAAGAACATCTTCAGACACATGACATTGTGCTACTTAACACAAATATTTCACATAGGTATAAAAGAGTAGGAAGCTGTCAAGGGATACATGTTTTCAATTTTTCCAGCTAATGCTAGTAGTGCATAAATTCACACTTCCTACCAGTGATGTGCGAGCCCCAGGGAGGCCATTCCCTGCCCAGCATTGGTATTTCTGGCTTTCTTCTTCAATTTTTAATGATACAACATATTTATTTTAAGGTCTTAATAGGAAAAATATTGCTGTACATTCTCAATAAAAATAATATTGGATAATAGAAGATTCAATTGAAAATATATTCAATACATTTAAGATACTTTTTATGTCATATGGTTGATTTAAAATGTCCAATATCTCAGTAGTAGACTACTTTATTTCCAGAAAAACAGATCATATGCAAATACTATATTAGTACTGATATTTCATTTTTATTTTCATTTGCATTTCAGATATCAGTGTTGGTGGTTTGAATAGGAATGGCCCCCATGGGCTCAAATATTTGAATGTTTAGTCAGTAGGAAGTAGTACTACTTGAGAGAAACTAGGAGGTGTAGTCTTGTTGGAGGAAGTGTATCACTGGGGGGTGGGTTTTGGGGTTTCAGAAGCCTAAGCCAGGCCCAGTGACTCCCTCTCTTTGCCTGCTGGCCCTCACCTTGCTAGCAGAGTCATTCCTTCACTGGCATTAGAGGCTACTTCCTTGGGATTCCAGCTTATACTGAAAACCAGATAAGACACCCAACCTTATGGACTGAGAAACTACTGGATTCTTGGAGTTTCCATTCACAAGCTGTTATTAGGTTAGCTGAGCTGTAGCCTGTAAGTCATTCTAATAAACCCACTTTCTATATATATAAAGAGATTCTTTCTATAAATTTTGTTACTCTCGAGAACTCTGACTAATATTAGTTATATGTTTGAAGACCCAATTTTTGGTTTTTGGTTTTTCTTTCAGTTAAATGATTATAATCCATCTGGAATTCAAGTGACTTGTGATATGAGGTAGTGAATCTTTGGCTCACCATCAGTTTGAAAACAAGGATCCTCTTCCCAATTATTCAGTATCTTCACTTTTATATGAACCTTAAGTGTAGAAGAGATTTGCTTCCAAAAATCACTGTCTTTTTTTCACCAATCTGTGGTATACACTGTCTTTACCATGTGGTCATGAAAGTGAGTCTTGACATGGTCATCTATCTTGGTTTTTATGAAGAATCTCGGCTGAGCTAGTAATGCTTCATACTTTCAAACCAAGATTATAATCAGTATGTGCAGTACCCTTAAAAAGGAAAAATATTACATAGACTGGATTACACTGAAACTGTAGGCCAACTTGAACAGAATTGCTGCCTTTACGGTAGAACATTCCCATCCCTTCTCCTGATGTATTTCTCCACTTAATTATGTTGAATGTCCCTGCTACAATTTTATGGCCATCTCTGTTGCAGATCAACACATTTTTTATGTTCTCTTTAAGATCTTGGCTTTTTCTTTAACCTTCTGACAAATGGCAACTTCTGTTTGGGTTTTTTTATTCTTTTCATTTTCTTACTGGTTATAGAGGGTATATAGAAGTATGACTGAAGCAGTATGGTGCATGACTTGAATCTTAGCACCTGGGAGGTAGAGGCAGGTGGATCTCTGTGAATTTGAGACCAATCTGGTCTACAAGAGCTAGTTCCAGGACAGGCTCCAAAAGCTACACAGAGAAACACTGTCTCGGAAAAAAAAAAAAAAGTATGATTGATTTCTACACATGAATAGTCTAGCTAAATATTATGTACATTAATTCTAATAATTTCCCTAGGAATAATTAATTTAGCTATTCATCTTTAAAGTATGAGATCATATTGTTGGCAGATGATGACTGATTCTTGTCTTTCTGCCCATCATATTTTTTTTACATTTTAATGCTATAGCTTGACTCTAGAATTTTCTGCAAAAGTCCATGTGTTAAAGGCTAGTACCCCTTCTCAGCACTATTGGCAGGCATAAATTTTCAAAGGCAGAGCCTAGTACTCAACTCTTCCCAGGCTTGTCTTAGCAAGGTGGTGGAAGCCCACTGTCTTCCCCGCCCTTCCCTGGTGACTTTGTGCTAATGTGCAGTATCAAAGAGATCCAGGGTGACACTCCAATTAGTCATTGACTGGAATTTCCAAAACTCTGCAGTAAACCTTTTAATTGACTCTCTCAGGCATCCATACCACTAAGAGAAATCTGGAAAACATGTTAAATAAACCAGCTAGACCCTCCAATGTGAAGTCCTCTATGTGTCACACAAACAAGCCAAGTTCCCTTACTTCTAAATTTATTGGAGACTTTTCTAAGTTTTTCCATTAGAGATGGTACCTGTTTGGTTGAATTTTGAGACACCAATGTCAGATTAAGGAAGTTCTTCCTAATGTTTCTTAGGAGTGTTTTTTTTTTTAAAACTATTGTGACATGATGAATAACATTACTGTCCCTTTGACATCTACAATGCTGTTTTTGCATCTTTGGTGTTTCTTAGGCTAATAAAATTCCCAAAATGATAGACATTCTAATGTAAAAGCAATTTTACATTCCCAAAAGAAACTTCAGCCTGATAGGACGCACTATGCCTATTACAAATGGATATATAGATATAATGTTCTTTTCTTAAACCTTTGCATATGATTTGAGGGAGGTAGATACACTTCCTGATACTGTTCTTATGAGTTCAGATAGGGAAGCCAAGTGAGCACTGTGAGTAAGGTTTTCATGCCTAGAAGCTGTCATGAGTAAGTGTAAACTTCCCAATTTGTACCTTTTAGCTGACATGACTGTGATCTGAGAGAACACAAGATACAGCGATTTTCAGAAGAAAAGACAGAAAACAGTCTTGTGAATACTTTACAACTTGAATTAAGTGTACTCTGGAAGTGAAAACTACAGACCACGATCTCTTTGGTGGCAAATTCTAGCAAATACTCATGCAATAAAGTATTCTAACCTAATGCAAAAAAAATGGAGAAGCCATCATTTTTGCCTAATAATAATTTTCAATTTCTTCCTTCACTTTAAAATGAAATCATTGGGATTCTATTGGAAAACTTGTCTTCTCCAAGATTTATGGGTTTATTATACCCATATATATAAGAATAATGTATCCATATATATCCATTTGTATAAAATGTCAACCTGAAAAAATAAAATAAGTAAAATAACAAAATAAAGTTCCAATTTGCTATATTCTGATTTGTAGAGGTGAGTCAGTAGATTTAAACCATACATCAGTTGAGAGGATTATAAAATGGCAGGAATACTAAGAAACAGGACTAGTGGGGACCAACTTTAAGGTGCCATTAATAACATTTCTGAATAAAATACTCTTCCTGTATTACCTTTCTTAATTTTTGTTTTGAATATTATAATATAATTACAACATTTGTCTCTTGTCTTTCTTCCCTCCAAACCTTCAAATATACACCAGGGACAGAATGCCATGATTGGAATCAGAAATGTTTACAGTAAGTATATTACAGCAACATACCTAAATTAATTTGAAATCCATTAATATTAGTGTGTTTTCAATTATTGGTGATAAGTAATACCCTATAGTTAGGTTGCTTTAGTTTATACAGAAGAGTATAACAAAATAACATAATCAGGATATCTTA